CCTAGCTGACAAGAACCATCTTTGCCTGTTTGTGGAAGGACAACAAAAAGGGGGTGAGGAGCCTGGCCTCCTCTTGGAGGCAGTTCCACAGCTTATAAGGATGACATAGAAGGCCTTCTCTCATGTCTTTACCAAACCTGTGGGGTGGAAGGACCAAGAGAAAGGCCTCCTCAATTATTCTAAAAGCCAGACAGAATCATAAAGTGAAATGCCGACTTCCAGGTAGCTTGGACCCACGTTGTTGAGGTCTTTATAAATCAAAACAAATAATATGAATTCTGTCCAGAAACAGACCAGTGGAGATATTGTAACAGGGGAGTTAAGTGATCCCTGTAACCAGCTCGTTAACAATGTGGCAATGGCATTTTCAAACTGCTATGATCCCTGTAACCAGCTCCAGTTAACAATGTGGCCGTGGCATTTTCAAACTGCTGGAGTTTCCAAGCACTTCCAAAGGCAGCTTCATGTAGAGTGTGTTTTAGAAGTCCAAATGGGATGTGTAACTAAGCCATGTCTCACCATAGCTAGGTCAGCATCTCCAAGAATGTATGCAGTTCATGCACCAGTTTTAACTGTACAAATGCATTCCTGGTCAGTGGCAAGGCTGAGGGATGAACATGTGTTTTCAGGGGAGTATAACTCCATCCAGCTCAGGCTGACACCCTATTGTCTAATTTGCCTTTTGACTGACCAGGTGCACCTCTGTCTTGTCAGGATTAAGCTTCAATTTGTTCACCTTCATCTAGACACCAACCACAAAATGCACTTCGTAAGGGAGCCCAAGTGCTTGGGCTGACAAATAAGCCCACTTCAGGTGTTTTTCTGCATATGTGACAGGGAGAAGTGAGTCATGAGAGGAAACTATGCACCCTGGGCCCACCTCCATCTTACCATCCCCTTTGATCTTAGTGACACTAGAAGCTTTCTTATACTTTGAGTCAGACTCTTGATCCATCTACCCCATATTGTTGACACTGACTAGCAATGGCCCACCAAGTTTATTGAATTCTGGACTGCACCCTGAGTTGAAAACGTCTGTTAAATAAAAGGAAACCTTGACATACAACAATTCGGTTTCTTATACTCCCAACTCTTTCTGTTTGCTATTAAGTGCCTTTTTTGTATGGTGTTCCATTTTGCAATACCAAAGACATACAAACAAAATATAACCTTCATGTCAAAAAACCAACAAAACTTCACCTGTGGCATGATCAGGCAACCCACAGCCCATGGGCATCTTGACACCCTTGGCCACTCTATATCATCCCCTGAGCCACCTGTGTCTTCTTTTCATGGCCCAGCTCACTAAGCTTTGCTTCAGCTTCATTCATAGCAAACTTTATGCTTGTATTTGGATTAGGTGATGGGCATACAGAGACTGGGATTGCTTTGATGCCAGTCTCTACGCCCATCCCTCAATCTGATGGGGTTCAATCCATGCCACAACTCATAGCCAGGATGGATAAAAATCTAAGATTTTTAACAATCAAATTGATTTAGACCATGATTTAAATCATTATTTAAATTTAAAAACTGAATATTTAACTAAATCATAAAAATATGGGTTTTTTAAAAATTAAATCACAATTTAAATCAATTTGATTTAAATCAAATACACCCTGCCCATAGCCCCCCCTTCTTTTGGTCTCACCCTCTGCCAATCCCAGCAATCTTTTTATGGTTCCTTATAAAGCTGGTGGTCTGTTTAAAATGTTGCACAGGATTAGGGAAAAATAGCAGTTTCTCAAATTTCTCCAATCAATACAAACACATACCGCAGAAACATATACGTCTGTTGTAGTTCAACAAAGTTGTTTCTATTTCGTATCAATTTTTATCGGGTGATAAAATCAGGTGATCTAACACTAAACAAATGTATCACTAAAGTGATAAGATGATCTAATACTAAACCCAGTCGTTTGTTTAAAAGAAATTTAAAAATACTGTACTTCAGAGCAGTTAGGGAGAAAGATAATTGGGGCAGGTGTCCAAAGCTTCATGTCTACCTTACTTAGTACGTACATCACCAAAATGCCACCACAAATCTTCCTCTTGTCCTTTTGGAGAACAAAACAAATGATCACTTGGGAAAAACACTGTTCAAATTGCCCAAACTTTTTTAAAAAGTAGAATTGATAACACAGGAAAAAAAAACTCTGCATCTGAAGGATAAAAGGGCGAGGGTGATTTGCATTGGTCTTTGCATTATATGATCACTTTGAAAAAGTTTGAACCCATCTGTTCTAGTTCTGCAGCAAATCCCATATTATTTGCTAGAGTAGCAGCAGCCTAAAAGATACTCAAAGATGAAAAAGTGAAAATCAAACAATGCAAAATATACTCGTCATACCACCTCAGACCAGCACAAAGGCCAGAATACTACTAGTTCTTGTGTAAGGTTTGTGCAATTTGCCACAGCTGAGGTGAATTGACAAGGTACTGGGGTTCATCTCTCTTGTGTGCCTGGTCATGCATCGGAATGTACAACTGACATGCACTCTGGCACTCATTGGTTAGCTCCAACTAGCCCTACCAGTGGTGAGCACTGCTAGAGACGTTGAAGAGAAAATTGGACAACCATCTCTCAGATCTGCTTTGATCTGGATTCCTGCACGAAGCATGGGGTTGGATTTGATGGCCTTATAGGCTCCTTCCAACTCCATTATTCTATGGTCTATTCGAAAATGCTTTCTCTATTTGCTCAGAATTTCTATGGAAGTATAAGAACAAAAGCACAAAACAGATTGCCTGGTGCTTAAATGCTTAGCCTGAAAGGTACACAAAGGTGTTCAGAAGACTTGTGAATGAACCTACATAAGTATCTTCAGTAACCTGCAAGTGTATCTACACTGCACAGTTATCCCAGGTTGGTACTACTTTAACTGCCCTCACTCCGTCTTGGGATTTGTAGTAGTGAGGTGCTTAGATTTTTCAGCTAAAGAGCTCCAGTTCTGTGCTAAAGCTCTCTAGTAGAGAATTTTCACTATGCTGTCAAAACGGCAGATCTTTGGAATCCATACATAGGAGCCAGGTTGGTTAAAATGGTATCAAACTAACTAAATGTGCAGCGCAGATGAAATCTGAGTTGCAGGTTCATAACTAAAGAAGACTTGTGAATGGACCCACACAAGAATCTATCATACTACAGCAACCTGTGACCAAATACTCTTTAGCTGGGGGGGGGGCAGGGGTCTGCCCTGGGTCCCCTAACCCTTCTTGCTCATCATGGGTCCTGCTATCTCTTGATCAGTTTCAGATAAAGTACAGCAGTCTTGTCCTCATGTGAGGATAAGGGGGTGGGGAATGAAAACTGTTTCCCCACCAAACCACTGTGGCCAGGGCATCTCCACCTGACAGCAGACGGTCAGATGGGGACCCAAAATGGCTTCCTACCTTAGGTCTATTGCATTATTAGGAATAGAAGTAATATTTTTATTTGCAGATCATCAGGTAGTTTTCCTTCTTTATGCTAGGTGGATTTTGCTTCTTTGCTCAAGACTCCTTCCACCAATGGGTTGAAGAGTAAGCTAACTGCACCTAGGCCCCTTTTCAAATCAACGTGAAAAGTTAGCCAGTCAGCAAGAGTGGCTAGTTGAGATGAGAATAACATCCAAATCCCTTGGATTTAACCCAGCATTAATTATAATGTTAGTAGTTTCATCAGTTCCTCTCAAAGAAAATGCTGAGCATATGCTCTAAATTTTATCATGGCTGTTCCATTCTCCAAAATGCCATAATGACACTTAAAAGTCAGTGTCACTCAATGAAAAATAATAGAGCATTAGACACCATGAAAAAGCGTACAAGCCTGTGCACATGCACACACATAATTTCACAATCATATTATTTTTATAATCATTATTACAGTAGCATGTGTGACACAGGAAAATCTCTACTGTTACAGAGGCAGCTAGTGAGTTAGTAGAAAACACACCATGTTGCTAAGCTAAGAGTACTTCTTCTATTGTGGCACACATAGCTTCTAAGGTACATATTTACTTCAATGGAGTTATTGGTCATGAGATGACTGCCCATAGCTTACCAGATAACATTAGAATAATAAATTAACTCCAAAAAACCCCAAACAAGGACACATTGTGTTAGTACACCTGGACAAGATCCAGAAATACTTGGAAGAAATTAAAAAGCAGCAGGCATTAGCTCAGGCAATCACTATCAGTCACATAAAGAACTTCCTTAAAAAATCAATTAATAAAGCCCCTTGGATTGTAGAGGGTATACCTGATGATATCTGATAAACTTGGAGAGGGCAGCTGGCACATTGCTCTGGTCCCCAAAATTTAGCCATAGTGTCAGCGTCTGACCCCACACAGACTTTTTGCTTTGTTTTTTTCAGCTTTTTTTAAAAAAAGGGGGGGGGCAAGGATCTACCTTTCAAGTTGGTGGTAAAAAGACAATATGAAATTGTGTGGATCATTTTAGAAACATTGCTGTGCAAAAGATCAACAGAGGACCAGGACGGCTTGTTTAACATAGTGAGGGCCTCCAGTTCCACAGGTCTAGATTCAAAAATGAACTCAATGGATGGTCTTGGGCCAGTCATCCATCGCTAATCAAAAGTCCTTTTTTTATGAAGCACTTGGCACATCAGACAGTCAATACAGGTAATGAATTATTCAAAGTAACTATATTTTCTGTGGAAGAAATGGGCATGAAAAAAACCTCACAAATTATCTGGGCTGGACTTTATAGGTGCAACTGTTGACAGCACACCATTTTGGTTGCTTTTGCAAACTTTGAATACACATCAACGAGGAGTTCTGAACATACACTGCAAATATATCTGTACACATGCATTTCTACAAAAAACAAACCAAACAAACAAACAAAAACACCCTGCTGCACAGCAAGTGTTTCTAGAGTTTTGCTTCTCAGCGGAATGTTACCAAAATGGGAATGCCATGCTATTAGTGCTGTTCTAGACACTCACTTTCCAGGCCCAAGTTAACAGGAAGTGTTTCATTACAGATGTCACTCACCTCTAAAAACATTGGGGAAGGTGTCAGCAGAAGGTGAGATCCCTGAGGACTTTCTCAAGTGATTCAAAGGTACTCTCTCTCCTTGGAAACCATCTCCGCTCTGTCTGTACTCCAAGAAATCTGCAGAGCCTGACTTACGAGCTGCTTCACCCCTGTGATCTGAAACCTCCTCAGTCCAGTCTGCTGATCGGCTGAATGGACCAGCGAGACTGGAGGACCTTTGCTTCTTGGTCGCTGCATGCTCATTCTTCCGAGGGGCCTCACGTCTCCTTTTAAAGAGTGGACTCTGGGATGGGGAGAGGCAGGGTGAGTGGTTTGGAGAACTCAGCTGCCTCGTGGTGGTTTTGATGTAGCAGGGGTTGATGGGAGGATAGGGCTTTAAACACTTGGAACTATGCGTGGGAGTACTTGAGACGTCCTCTGAGGACAAAATACCATTTTTCATTTCAGGAGCAAACTCATCATCTAATGCTCCTCTGCTGGCTGACATCTCCCTTTTCTCTTCTTTGGCTTCATCCTCAACCTGAGTGTGGCCTGTATCCATAATATCATCCTCTCTTTCTGTAGCTGCAAATTCAACTGCCATTCCTTCGGTCTCCGATTCCCCCACTGGGGATGGGAAATCAAACACAGAATGGCTCTGCAGAGTTCCCTTTTCTGACAATGCACCATCGGGAGTGGACAAATCTTTCGGCCCACTGGCAGGTTGTTCCTGATCCCCTGGCAACTGCCTGGCTTCTTCTTGTCCATCAAATACACTGCTGCAGGAATGGCCCATTCCATTTGTCGCTCCTTTTACTTCACTTTCGATATTGTCGGCAGGGATGTAGTCTGTAATTTCCGATTTAGCAGAGAAAGGTTGTTCAGTTTCTGGGCTGCTATCTTTCTCGCTGCTGAATGAAAGGAACCTTTCAAAATCTAAAGGGGCTGCTTGAGAATTAGCCATGTGTAGGTCCATTGTTTTGGGGCCATGCTGCTCAGTTCCAACATTAATTGCCCCCTGCTGCTGCTGCTGCAGTTGCAGTCTGATCGCCTGCTGGATATCAGAAAGCAAATCCTCTTGTTCGGTGGCTGAATGGAAACTGTAGATATCCGTGTCGGAGCCCGAGCTGGTCCTTTGTCCATCCTGCGGCTCGGCAGCAGCTGGGCGAGTTTCATTTGTATTTTCAAAATGCTCCACATCTGTGTCTGAGAGACCCCCCTCATCTGCAGAAATGCTTATATCAGGAGTTTTGGTGAGAATCGAGTGAGCACTGTCCAGCTCCCCTGTTTGCAAGGCCTGGCTTTCTAAAACATCCTCTCTGGAGCTGCTGTTTCCATCTTTAGCTTTGGATAGATTTTTCCTGATCCTCAGATTTGAAAACACAGATGCTCGGGACTCTGACTTGCCCTTCTTTTTGCCGGATTCGCTCCCTTTGCCATGCCTCCCCAGCCCCTTTTTGCTCCCGGCTCCCTTCTTTGTGCTCTCCGCATCCTTGGGCCCAGAAGCATCCTCACCTCCTTCGTGTGCATCACCTGCGTTCTTCTTCAGCTTCCCATCTTGGTTCCCCATGTTGTTTAGCAATCCTGCAGCATCAGGAATCAAGCCATGCTGCTCTGTTTCGTTCGGCCAGCCTGCCGGCAGCCGAGACCGCTCGAGAAATCCAGGTTTGTTTTCAAGCGGTGGTGATGCAAGTAGAGCCAAGCCTTGCTCTGCCTCTCTCCCAGCTGCTGCTCGAGCTGCCTTTTTGCATAACGTGCTGCTAGCACAGGGCTCCTCCGGGACATGCTCAGTAGAGCACTGAGAGATGCAGACAGCTCCTTCCAATGGTGGCTCGTGGCACCGTTGCCTTTTCAGTCCAAGTCTGCTGCTACACTCTTGGCTCTCTTTGGTAGATGTGAATAAGGATTCCTTCACCAACGCAACTTTTTTCTCTACTGCCTGAATCCCCTGCATTGTAAGCTCATGGAAGATCAGTTTGTCAGGGGGGGTGGTTCTTAAAATTCAGGACTTCAGAAGTGTAAATACCTGAAGCTGTGCACTGGGGATGGAATAAGAGGAGAGAAACAGAAAGAAAGAAAGAAAAAACTTTAAGTGCCACAATAACTTTCTAGCAATTCACAGGAGAGGAGAAAAACTTTAAGTGCCACAATAACTTTCTAACAATTCACAGGAGAGGAGAGAAAAAACAAAAACAAACAAAATAACAAAAAAACCCCACAAAAACAAGTTCCTAATCTTTGCAAACAAAATTATTCTCTTAAAAACAAAACAAAACAAAATAACAAAAAACCCACAAAAACAAGTTCCTAATTTTTGCAAACAAAATTATTCTCTAGCTTTAATAATATTTTGCTATAACACAGATTATTTCAGTTCTTACATAAACTTGAATCATACAATGAATGCAGATTTTTACAACCCAAAAACATTTCTGTTTCCAGTACTCTGTGATTTAAATATATAAAGCAGCAGGATACAGACACACAACTATTCCTTGAGGGAAATATTAAGGATTAATGATCTTGCAGGTTATTTGGTACATTGCTTTATTTGACCATTGAGAAATAAACCATTTGTATTCAAGTGTGGTATAAGGACTGGTAATCCTCTAGGGATAAAGTTCATTAATATTCAGCACACACTCATTATCTCCTTTAAAAAATTGGTAAACCTCTCCTCAAAAGAAAAAAGAAAAAAACACTAACCAGCAGGAAAATGCAAATCTAAAGAAAGCCATGCCTCAGGCCATGTCCAAATGTTTTATATCTATTGCTTCTTGTTTGATATATTTGTTTCTACTTCTAGTAGCTGTTTGTGTGTGCTAATCTTTACTGCAAAACACACAGAACAGCCTTGATGCTTTATGACAAATAGGTTTGTTTTTTTAACTAATGCATGTAAAGCAAAGGAAAAATCTGAGACTTGTCCTTATAAATCTAACCAGACTCCATCTGTTCCATCATCCTAACTCTGTCAGCAGTTTCTATAAGATATGTCAGTAAAAGTTCCTGGTAAGGAAAAAAAGACTTATTTTTTGTTGTTAAAAATAAGAAGTTCACTGAGCAGTTATGCCCCACTGCATTTGCCTGGCTTAGTTCTGAAGTTAGCATCCACAGATAATTGGGAGTAATATGCACTGAACACAGTGGGAACACCAGTCAATGAAGATGTATGTGGTATGTTTGCATTAAGGATTATACACAACTTGCATATGCTCCAGGACACAAAATACTAGATTTTAATGAGTCTAACCTTTAAAGTTATCTTACATCTCTGTAAATTATAGACTCAGGATCTTACTACTCATGAAACATGAACAATCTGCACTAGTGTAAAGGTGGGTGATTTTCTTTTTCAATCCGCGCAAAATGTTCCAGATACTTTTGAACCTCCTTTTCAAAAGAAGCCTCACTGAATTGAAATGACAACAATGTGTCCTGGGGAAAACCCTTTTGTACGGGGGGGGGGGATGTAAACCGGGGCATTATCTTCTACGGATTTCGGTTTGTAAACCGAAAATTACATAAACCGAGACTTTGGTAGTGAGGTACCACTGTAAGTGCTCCCAGGACAGAGTAGAGAAGTATTGCCATTGTCACCTTCCATGTTGGAGAAGAGGACTTTTCTCTCCTGTTACAACCCATTTAATTTGGACCAAGACCATCCATATGTGGATGCTGATTACTATGCATATACAGCTGTGAAGCCTGCAGGAAAAAAAAAAGACTTGATTCATTTGAATTGTGGTGTTAGAGGAGAGCTTGACAGATACCATGTACTGCTAGATCAAATCAAGCCTGGACTTTCTCTACAACAGACCTGGGCAAAGTGCGGCCCGCAGGCTACATACGGCCTGCGAGCCGTTCTCGTCTGGCCCGCTGGTTGTAGCCACATACGGCCCATGAGCCGCTCTTGTCTGGCCCACCGATTGTCGCTCCAGTCCAGCCCACCCATCGCCGATCCTGTCCGGCCCGCCTGTTGCCTAGTCCAGCCCACCCATCGCCGATCCTGTCCAACCCGCCTGTTGCCTCTGAGTGAGCCAGAGCTCCGGCTCCAGTCACCTAGCATGGCAGTAAGCAAAATTCTCAAGATCTGACACTGGGATCTCGTGGTTTTGACTGTTACACTTGCGGAGCCTGCGGCTCAAGAGGCCAGAAGCAATCCTTGCGCAGGTGACGTGATGACGCATCACTTCGTCTGCGCGGGATGGAAGACAGTCGGAGAGGAAGACTGTGGAGGAACAGAGGACAGGTGAGTTAGCTCAGTGTTGGGGCTTTTTTCTCTCCCCCCCCCACGGTGAACGAAGACCCCCCCCCCGCAGTGAACGAAGTACAATGCTCTCATAGTTAACTCCCTAAAAAGTAGCTTGTTCACCGCAGGGCCTCACCCAATGGATTTCATTTTCTTTTTAAGTAATGTTGGTTCAGCCCCCGAACACAGTTCAGATTTTTCATGTGGCCCTCTTATAGAAATTAATTGCCCACCCCTACTCTACAAGATAAAATGGCTAAATTGTTACAATTCTATTTTGGGCATATTGTGTGAAAGACAAGAATGCTGGGAAAAGTTGAGGGCACCAGGGAAAGAAGAAAGCTTAACATGAGACAGACTGATTGAGTAAAAGAAACCATGAGCTTTAGTTTGCAAGAGTTGGCCAAGGCTGTTAATATAATGTCACTAATTCAAGAAGAAAGCTTAACATGAGACAGACTGAGTAAACGAAACCATGAGCTTTAGTTTGCAAGTTGGGCAAGGCTGTTAATATGATGTCACTAATTTATAGGATCCCTCTAAGTCAGAAGTGACTTGATAGTACATTAAAAATAATCATGACTTAAGGTATTATTGCATGACACAGCCTTGTCAGAGATAGTAAACAGTAATATGTAAATCACAATTCTCAGAATACCCAGTGGTCATTGTTGATTTGGATGTTCTGAGGGGTGTAGTCCAAAAATTATAGCATTTCCTCATCTCTAAGTCTTGTCCAAAGACAGTGCATAAGCGCTAGTTTTAAATCATCCCAATCTATTTACATGCCCTGATTATTTGTATACAGTATATACAAATATATTTCCTGGCTCATATTAGCAAGAAAAGGAATAAAATGGTAAATATAAGCAGACAAACTAGCTGGGGAAGACCCTATTAAAGAAGTCTGCTCCTGCTTCTTTACATAAATAAGAGCACTGTTAAAAAAAAACACATATTCCCATGAAAACAGGAATGGAAAATGGGTGGCCTTCCTGACATTGCTAGAAAGGCCCTTGTTAGAAAGATCAATGGTCAGGGATCATGGGAACTGCAGTCCAACAATGCAAAGAGGGCCAAACATTCTCCACTACTGATCTGGGGAAAAACTTGATTAAAATGGGTTGCCATGTGCTTTGAACACTAAAGGTGATCTTAATATTGTTGCTTTTTTGTTGTTTTGTTAACATACTATACAGTATAGTAACCTGCAGTGTAACTTGCACTGTATCACATTCTGATGAAGCCCCACATACATAATTGATTTAAAGATATGAATACTGCAATTTACACTGAAAGCTTCATGATGCACCCTGACATTTCACATCTCTGTCATATCTTGTTTTGATGCCACACCACTGTATGCAGGAATTATTGGCTGAAATCCTATTGGCCTAGAGTAGACCCATATAAATCAATGGACATTACAAAGGCAATGATTTCTCTACTGACTCAATGGGCCTGCTCTTGTGCCATTTAACTATGCTAAGTTAAAATCCTAACTCTGATGGAGGCTTGCCTTGCTTCTGGTTGCTCCACTTGTTTTCCTTAGCCAAACAGAAACTCTTTGTGTTTCAAAAGAAGGCAGAACGGGGGATGGGGGGGGTCAGAGTGCCTGGCTGCCTTTTGTTTAGAGAGATGGGTGATAAATTCCAAACCACTGGCTGAAAAGTGGACTGAAGCCACACACACACCTCTTGCAGACTGCAGGCCACAGCTATATCCATCTAAGAAGCTACACCTGGCCCCAATGAGACTTTGAGACTTTAATATAAACATATCATTTTGGCGCTCCCCGCAAGAACTTGGTGCACAGCCTGAGGAAGATGAATGATCAGCAAAAGCCACTGTTTGTTTTTTGTTTTGGGTTGGTTTTTTAGTGGTCCAATAAAGCTATCACCTGTTCCAGAATTTCACCCATTATACCGGTCTTTGTGTGGACCCCAGAGGTTAGGCAAAACCTTAAGCAATACTGATGCATGATCAAGAGTGAGATGTGGTCTGTTTCCTGTCTGTCTGTGTATGAGTTCTGAAACAAGAATGCACGCTTGTTGCAGAAAGAAAGTTTATCTCTACAGCAGTTCTTACTAATCCTCTAATTTCACCATTTGTGGCCAATTAAAAGTGGCAAAAGTGTAGAGAAAGAACATGAAAATGTGAAACTAACCTTAAATCATACACTGCAGATATATTTGCAGCTATACACACATTTGAAGAACGAAGTGAATCCTCCATATCTTTCTTCTGAGCCCCAGAATCATAGATGGTGTTATGTTTTCTGAGCACCTTCGGGAACAGGAAAGGGCCTGGCTGTTTTCTTTACCTGCACCTGTAGTGAGTGAACTAGCATTTCCTGGAAGAAAGCCAAGGCTGAGCAGGACAAGCTTCTCCTCCAGAACATGGATAATTGTTAGGGAAAGCAACCAAAGCAAAACCAGCATATTTCATGCTTTACAGTGAATGCTTGAACTGCCCTGAAACATAATAGGGATATAACAGAGAACAAGCTATATATTGAAGGAAATACAGGTTCTCTTCCTCTTCCCCCCCCACACACACATCCAGTTGCTGAGAAGAAAGTTTGATCTTTTGCCACACAAGGGCCTGTATAATGGCTGAAATCCTGTTGCTTAGAATAGTTAATTGGCACTAGAGTAGGCCCACTGAATCAGGGGATATTTGGTGAATCACACTCTTTATAGTTCTGTTGATTCAAATGGGCCTACTCTAGCTGCAACTGACACACTAAGAAAGGAGCCAGTAATGGACTGGTTGATGAGTTTTAACTTGTCTCTCTCCTGTTTGCCATTACCAGCAGCCTGACATACATAAATAAAAATAAGTTAAGCTTTTCCTTACTGTTGACAGGAAACGTTTACCTTCTTAATCTGTGTGAGCCAAAGCTTGGTAAAGCCACAAAGCAGGAACAGTAGAAATCTGTTGATATTAGTCATGAAGGCTGCTGTCCTACTTGTATCAACCACTCAAAGCAAGCTCCATTGAACTCAGTGGTTGCACTTTTGAGTAGAAGTGTGAAGGTTTACATTGCAGTTATTAAAATTAAATTTAGCAGAAAGAGCTAATCCTTGTTTCTTTGTGAGCTCAGCTATACAGTGGTGCCTCGAATGATGACGTTAATTTGTTCTGCGAAAATTACTGTAAAACAAAAATGTCATGCGATTTTAAAAAGCCCATTGAAACGCATTAAAACCCGATTAATGTGTTCCTAGGGGCTTCAGACTCACCGTCCAGCGAAGATCCTCCATAGCGCTGCCATTTTCGCTGCCCGTGCAGCGAGGAATCCATGTCAGAAAACAGTGGGCAGCCATTTTTTTACCCATTGGCCATTCTGAAACCACCGATCAGCTGTGTGAAAATTATCACTTTGCAATGATCGGTTACCGAAACAGGGGACCGATCATCGCAAAGTGAAATTCCCCCATAGGGAACATCGTTTTGCGATTGCTTTTGCGATCGCAAAAACATCGACGTAAAGCAATTTCATCGTCAAACGGAGCTCTCGTAATGCGAGGCACCATTGTACTCTGTTAAATAAGTACAATGAAGCTGAACCTCACTTCCTTTTTCACTTCCAATTATGACTGCAGTCCTAAAGCAGAGTGAGATAACATTATCATTGCACAAATGTGCAGCAAGAGAGAGAGAGGGAGATCTATTGCTGCACACTTGTATATACATTCATATATTTTTATAGACCTTTATTCAGCATCAAATTTAGCACAGATATAGCAGAGTCTCCTTGTGCTGTGCCAAATTTTGGGGTGTTTAGGCAAAAAAGTTTTTCAGTTTATGATTTTTTAAAAAAAACTCATTTTTTTTAAAAAAATCATGCAATATAGTCGACCTTCTGTGTCTGCAGATTTAAAATAAATCAAATAAATTGACAATACCAAACTTGCTTATCTTGACAGAGAATCATCAGTCTCAACCCCCCTTTTTTTTATTTGGAAGGAATCATGGCATCCATGGCTCAAAGGGAAGCCTTTGAGCCATGGGCTCAATTTTTCCCATTTCAAAAGAGGAAAAAAATCTGAATTTCTTGGGTTCTTATAAAGGCCAACATTGTAAATGCAAACATAAACTTAATACCTTGAAAAGCCCTCTGAGATCTAAACTTTTCACGTACCAGTCAGGGCCAAATTAAATGAATCTGAGGAGGAAAACACTTAACTCCTTCCTGCTCAAATGCACATTAAAAAGAGTTTCTATTTCTGGTGTAAAAATATTTTAAAAGATACTTTTTTAGAAAACAGAGAATAAATGTTCAGCAGCTAACTAATTTAACTTTTTTTCTTTTTGGCTTTTTGGCTGGGGATGGTCTGCCTTGATGTTAACAGAGTTTGAGTGCCTATTCCACCCATCCTGTCACTATACTTTTTTTGACAATTAAGAAAAGAATTCCAAAGATGCTATGTCCTCATGTGTAGTTACTACAGTATATGGATTCCTGATTTCCAGAATGTTTTATCATTAAAGCTTTGTTCAGATTTTGCAGACCTACAACATCTCATTTTAGGTTGTTCTCTCTTCCTACTGCACCTCCTTCCTAGCAATATTGACTTTTCCATATGGTTCTGCTCATATCTTGCAAACTAACAGCTATGACCCTTTATTGGGGAACCCATGAGTCAACCCATCTCATGTTAGATCCTCCTCTTTTTTATTGCTTCACTTCACTTTTCCAAGCAATATACAGTAATCTGGTCAATTCTGTATTTCGGTTATATATTCATGGTAGGATTGTCTCAGTTCAGTCATTTTTGTTCAAGTGAGAGTTCAGGCCTGACTTGATTGAGCACCCACTTTTCTAATTTTCTGGCCAGTTTTGGTAACTGTACAGCCCTCCTCTAGCACTGACAGCAGGCCCCTCCTTCATAATAAAATGTTGGTATATGATTGTATGATTAATAAAGTGTGGCCCATATTTTAAACCCATATTATTGTCTCGCGCATTATTCCGGGGTTGGGGGGGCAAAGATGCTATGTCCTCAAGTCACTTCTGATGTGTAGTTACTATATGGATTCCTGATTTCCAAAATGTTTTATCATTAAAGCTTTGTTCAGATTTTGCAGACCGACAACATCTCATTTTAGGTTGTTCTCTCTTCCTACTGCACCTCCTTCCTAGCAATATTGACTTTTCCATATGGTTCTGCTCATATCTTGCAAACTAACAGCTATGACCCTTTATTGGGGAACCCATGAGTCAACCCATCTCATGTTAGATCCTCCTCTTTTTTATTGCTTCACTTCACTTTTCCAAGCAATATACAGTAATCTGGTCAATTCTGTATTTCGGTTATATATTCATGGTAGGATTGTCTCAGTTCAGTCATTTTTGTTCAAGTGAGAGTTCAGGCCTGACTTGATTGAGCACCCACTTTTCTAATTTTCTGGCCAGTTTTGGTAACTGTACAGCCCTCCTCTAGCACTGCATTTCAAATGAGTTGATCTTTGTCCCTGTCTTTTTTCACTGTCTTTCTTTCACACAGTCTGAATGATTTTGTTCTTGGGTTTGAGTGACATCCCTTGCATACTCCAACCTCATCCTTTCTTTTATTTCAAGAGTAAATGGGCATCTTTTTGAAAACATGCACATAACATGTCCATAGTGCTTTTGGTCCAATATGCCTTTTCTTCCTCAACTCATCTGACCCTAAGAAAGGATTTGGAAATTAGAATATAGTTTCTATTCTGCATTCTGTGAAGTAGGCATGGCAACATTAGTTTAACTGAAAGGTTAAAGCTGTATATGTTTCTTCATTGTACATGTTGTACCTACTCACGTCTTTGCTTTACCATTTCATTAAGTCCAAAGGAGCCCTGCAAAATATTTTGCCAAAAGAGGCTACCATCACATCCAAGCTATTCTTGCTCCTTCCTTCCATTTCATTAAGTCCAAAGGAGCCCTGCAAAATATTTTGCCAAAAGAGGCTACCATCACAGCCAAGCTATTCTTGCTCCTTCCTTCTCCCAATTACTGTATAGATCATATGCTCATCTTCTGGAATCCTCTAAGCACTGGGTAGTTTAACATGAGTGAAATTTCTGTAGGAATTTATTTTATTATTTATTTGTTAGATTTACACCCCACGCCACTCTGTGCCTGTGTTGCCAGAATGCGTGTGCGTTGTACGCATTAAGTCCAAAGGAGCCCTGCAAAATATTTTGCCAAAAGAGGCTACCATCACAGCCAAGCTATTCTTGCTCCTTCCTTCTCCCAATTACTGTATAGATCATATGCTCATCTTCTGGAATCCTCTAAGCACTGGGTAGTTTTACATGAGTGAAATTTCTGTAGGAATTTATTTTATTATTTATTTATTAGATTTACACCCTGCACCATCTGACAACCATGCCACTCTGTGCCTGTGTTGCCAGAATGTGTGTTTGTTGTATGTATATTTAAACTCTTGTTTTAAAAAGCTAAGAAATTCAATTCTTCAATAAAAAAAACCCTCCACTTCATGAATGTGAGATGTTGCATTTCTGTTGTGTAATATTGTATTGCCGGCAGGAAAAAGGATGCCAAGCTTTACACAGCAAAGTGAAGCCTCAAGGTTGACAACACTAATGGCAGCAGTCAAGATGGCCGACAGGATATTTGTTTGTTCGTTCATTTGTTTGTTCATTTGTTTGTTTGTTCGTTCAATTTCTGTACCACCCATCTTGTGTCTGCACAACCAAGTTTTCAAAGATTTATTGAAAATTCCCAGTGAAGTGCTCAGGTGTATTGCAGGCAGGAGGTTATTCCACAAGTGGGGAGTAACCACCGAGAAGGCCTGGTTTCTGGTCTTTTCTTTCTGGGCCTCTCTCAGGATCACTACTCTCAACCAATATCCAATTTCTATTCTATACCACCCATCTGGCTACAAGGCCACTCTGGGGAGTTCACAACGTAATAAAAAAATAAATAAATAACACTTTAAATAAATTCACAATATAACAGTACAGAAATCAAATTAAACATATCAATCAACTGAAACTAGAAAAGAATAACTATGAAAAAGACAACATAAAACAATAAATAAGACAAGGTGGCAGAACAGATAACTTAAGTACTGACAGGCTACAAGGCCACTCTGGGGAGTTCACAACGTAATAAAAAAATAAATAAATAACACTTTAAATAAATTCACAATATAACAGTACAGAAATCAAATTAAACATATCAATCAACTGAAACTAGAAAAGAATAACTATGAAAAAGACAACATAAAACAATAAATAAGACAAGGTGGCAGAACAGATAACTTAAGTACTGACAGGACCTCTGCGCTCTAACAATCTGACATCCTGAAAAGCGTGTCTGCACAACCAAGTTTTCAAAGATTTATTGAAAATTCCCAGTGAAGTGGTCAGGCGTATTGCAGGCAGGAGGTTATTCCACAAGTGGGGAGTAACCACCGAGAAGGCCTGGTTTCTGGTCTTTTCTTTCTGGGCCTCTCTCAGGATCACTACTCTCAACCGATATCCACTTCTGATCACTACCATTCACACTTGTTGAAAATCAGCCCCAACAATTGCTTTGTGTGTGGGCGAGAAGTTGTTAACTGCTGAAAAAAGGAGTCAGCTTCTGGGATTTCCCCCTGCATGGTATTACTTTGTGAATGGCAGTGAGCACAAGTGGCAAGTATGTTTGTTTAGAGGCAGCACCTGTTTGTTTAGAGGCAGCGCCTGGAGAAGGCAGGACAAGAAAGCTGGGGCCCTGCCTCTGAGGGAGTGCCTGCTGTAGGACACACAGGTGGGAAGTGCCAGACACCTGTTTGGGTGAAAAATGAAGCAGCAGGCGGTTTGTGCCCAACTCTAAACATGATATATTTAAAACATCCTAAGCAATATACTGTACAACAGTGGCATAACTACACTACAGCAACTAGACAAGAGGATCATGACCTCTGTGTCTGAGCATTTTACAGATAAATT